CCACCCCCCGACCCCCGCCGGCCTCCGTTCCCAGGTAGGATTGTGGTTCTCCCATTGCAGCTTTATTTAATAAGCATGGTTCATCATTTCTGCTTTATTTTCAAGACAGTTCTGTGGGTCCCAGCCCACTGCAGCCTCTTGTGGGGGTCGGTCGGGTGGGCCAGCCCGGAAGGTGCTTCCTGAACCCGTGTGGGGCGGGCAGTCCTCAGAGTCCCTCCCTCCCCCGAGCCTGGATGCTTCAAAGCCACCCTCGGAGTTTGCACTCGGCCCCCTGCCACGTCCAGGGGCCGGGCGAGCTGCGGTGGGTGAGGAGGTGGCCGGGAGCTGGACTTTGCACAGCAGATGACGGCCCCAGCTCCTCCTCTGCCTCCGCCTCGAGCCAGCCGAGGCTCTCTATAGAGAAGTACTCCTCCAGTATTTTTACTATGTGTGTGATTTTCCTGTTTTATATTGGGAAAGAAAACTTTTTTGACACTCATAAGACCATTCAGGGAAACTTTATGAAAAATGCACATACTGTTCTGAGCAGGTTGAGAATGCAGATGAAGTGAATGCAGTTTCCTTTCTTGCAAGCAGTGCACCGTCGCCCCCGCGGGGGCCCGTGCTGTGCCTTAGCTTACCTGGTGCCAGGAGTGGCCGGCCAGGCGCTGGGGCGGCGTCACTGGCTGCTGCCGCCCCGGCGGCTCTGCGTTCCGGGAGGGGCTTGTCTGGCGGCTCTACGTTCCGGGAGGGGCTTGTCTGTGTTCCTTGTCTGTTGCAGGTGGAAGAAAAGCCCACCCACCTTGAACCAGAATACCCTTAGCCAATATTCTCTGCCTCTGGCTGGGCCTTGGGGCAGGGGTGTGACAGAGGGATGCCAGCAGCATCTCAGCTCAGTCTGGAGAAAGCCTGCCCCTCAGTGTTAGGGAGGTACCAACAAGCTCCGATGCTCTGGCAACACCCCGGGCTGTGCCTGCCCCCTGGGTTCTCATCCGCACGTGCCATGTGTGCCGGATTCCCAGGGCCCCAGGCGGGGCCGGGGGTAGTGTAGCCGCCCACCTGTTGACCAAAAAAGGCCCGTGTGCTCAGTTGTGGAACTCCTGACTCTGGCCTGTGACTCCCCAGCTGGCTGCTGCCCAGGTGACAGAATCCAGGCAGAGCTCAAATGGGGTCTGTCCCGGCAGGCCCTGGGCGAGGCCACCAACCTTTGTCCTCAGTTACTGTACATTTCTACTCCTGGACTTGAACTCCTGCTGTATTGTAATTGTTTTTATAGAGAACAGCTGTATAGGACGATTTACTGCCCTGCCAATCAGGTGGGCCTGTTAACATCTGTGTATCTTGAGAGTGGTGCCACCCAGCCCGTACCTCTGCCGCCTGCAAGGGGCACAGCCAAACATGTGAGCTCGGTGTTGATGTGGGGGAGGGGCCGCCAGGCTGGCCTTGCCGTCTCCAGGGCCACATCTGATCTGTGCTTGTAAAGCTGTTAAGACCCCTTTTAATAAATAGAGAATTGTTAATAACGGCCCTGTCCTTTATTTGCCTGGGGACCCTCATGACGTGTTTGGTTCTAGAGTATCAGCAATCAGCGTTCCAACGGCGAGGCTGACTGGTGTGGCTCTCAAGTTACAAAAACTAAAGGCCACTGAGGTGGTTGTTCTTGATCCGAGAATCTCAAATGTGCACCAAAAGAGGCAGAAGGAAGTGCGCTCCTCCTGTGTCGGGGTGTCTTTGGGGTCTCAGCCGCCCTGCCAGGGCCTCAGCAGGGGACTTAGGGTGCCCCCTGGGCTCAGTCCCCCCCCCCCCCCC